CCTCTGTAGGTCTCCAAAATGACCAGATTAATGCCAGTCTTCAGTTGCACAAAATGCTCTAGGAAATATGATTCTCCTCCAAGTACCCTCCCTTTGTTAAGCCTTCCATCCTGGAGGTGTTTTAAGACTTACCGCTGGCTCAGTCCTGAAATGCCTACTGGTCTCCTTGGAAACCAATGGGCAAAGCAAGCCTGCCTGTCTCAGGACTTTGGACTGGCTTGCTCCCTTGGCCAGAATGTTCTTCTCCTGGAAATATATTTGGCTGTTTTCCTATCATCCTTCAAAACATTGCTCAAATCTCACTTTAGTTGAAATTACTAGGCTACCTAATTCCTATCATTTTTCACTTATGTACCAGCCAACCACATCTAGCCCTACTGTTTTCTCTATAGTACTTACCAAGTTCTAACACAGTATACAATTTAACTACTAAATAACGCAAGCTCCACAAGAGCCAGAACAACCATTTTCTTTACTACTCTGGCTAAGTATCTAGTACAGCTCTCAGCCTATAGTGTGACTAGAGTGCTTGAATGGCTGTGTAGAATAAGGCATAAACAAATATTAATGCACAACTGCAATATGGAATTATTCAATCACCATAAAAGAGCTGTTCACAGTAGCCAAGTTATAGCATCAGCCTGGGTACCCATAAACAGATACACAGAAGAAAATGTCACATATTAGTTAATTAAGTAACTATACACATAACACACAATGGAGTTTCATTCAGTCATGCACATTTAAATTATGCAACCTGTAGGCAAATCGATGGAAGTGGAGACCATCGTGCTGCACAAAACAAGACAAACCCAGAAAGATGAGTATCACATGCTTTCTCTAATATGGCAAATATAGATTTAAAAAACTAAGACATTGAAGTAGAGGCAGATTTATTTGGGAAAATGAAAGAAGATCACTTGGGGAAGATGGGGGACTAGAAAGAGCCACGAGATTGAGTAAGGTCCAAGTATATGGTATCCAATGATGGGGAAAAAAACGCAATAAAACCCATTATTTTACACAATTAACATGGTCTAGTAAAAAAGACCACTGATGAAATAATTATATTAACAAAACTCAAAATAGCAAATTACCTACAGGGCTACTGCTGACCGAGAAATGTCCAGGACTGCACATATTCTCTTCCTATTTTTGTAAAATAATCTTTGTTTTTGAGTGTATTTGAGTGTGCATTTGTAAACTTAACATTTTATGATTACAGGGGAAAAAACACCTCTTCGATAGAAAGAGTATACATTGAGTATTCCTGATCTTAACTGTGAAAAGCCAAGTGTTCTAGTTTCCAGATTTGAGGGAAGGTTACTACGTAGCTACAGATATATAAACAGATAAATATATAAATAAGTTGAGGTAAAACCCAAATCTAAATAGAGAATTCATATGTTTCATATACACTTTACACATTGTCTGAAGATAATTTCATGCAACCATTAGTATGGCTTATATGTAGTATGTTCCATGTGTGGTATCATGCAGACTCAAAATGATACAATTTTGGAACATTTCAAATTTCACATTAGAAATGCCCCACTCATGTGTAGCAGGACCTGAGTTCAGATTCTGTGAACGTTAGTGTGGGACAGAGCTTTCCCCAGCATCAGTTCCATCACCTACAAAACAGGGTTTGCCACATGGCCTGAGTAAGGACTGAGAAAAGCATTCTTGACTGCAATCTCTGTCATTCACCCTCTATCTTCAGTGGTAAGGACAGTTCCTATTGCAACAGCTTCATAAATATTTCATTAGTTAAACTCTATTGAATTATAAAAAAACATTTAATTATTAGTAGCTGTTATCATCAAAAAAGCAAAATACAAAGTTTAGAAAATGTCAGTTTAAGTTGAGCTATGGTGTACCTTGAAAAATTGTAAGAGCAGTAAACGTAAGGCCTTGATGGGTCCCCATGGCGAGACCTGACTGTATTAACAGGGAGACAGTGTCACTGCAGTGATTCTATTTCCAGACCAGCGAGTTACCATCAGCCATCAGAAAATGAAATACACATCACCTGGCAGCGTTTCAGCCAGATAAAAATCCATTGGTCTTAAAGGGGTCACCTTCTAAAACTAATTAGCAAAATACATTATTACACAAAATCTAATCTTTCTATATGAACATGGGAATCATTCTTCTGGTTGCTTTTCTTTTCTCTTTGGGTTTTTTTGTTGTTGTTTTTGTTTGGTTGGTTAGTTTGGTTTTGATCATCATGTATTTTCTTCTAAACTGCACACTTTCAACTTTACTTTTTAAATTTTCATTCTATTTTTACAAACTGGGCATTAAAATTATTTTCATTAACATTTTTCATCAGAAAAAAAGTGTCTGACTTACGAAAAACAAGGAGTTGACAGCTGGTACAGTGGGAGGCATGGGAACCTGAGAGGCAGCTGTACATCTCTAGGCCTCAGGTGAGCTCACCTTTACCAGGATAATGTGTCGACTAGCTTGTGCTCACCTTTACCTGGGTAATGTGTCGACTAGCTTGTGCTCACCTTTACCAGGATAATGTACCAATTCGGGTGTGCTCACTTTTACCACAATAATGTGTCAACTAGAGCACTTATAACATTCTTTAAAATGTCATTGTTTGGAATGAATTAGTATCTACTCTTTCCTACTTCAAAACACAGTTTCTCTTCCCCAGGTTAAAGGAACACACCCAAGCTTTAATGTATAACTGTTAAATAATCAAGAATCAATGCTACCTGCAAACAAAGTAAAACACTGATCAGTACATTTGCAAGGGGTGTATCATTACAGGGCCAGGACATGATGAAACTCACTCCAATTAGTCATTATGAAGGAAGGAAATGCTTCACAAAGGGGTAAGTCTAGAGAAGTATGAGGTCCCTTTGCAAAAGGAATTCCAAATACATCGGTGGAATGTACAAATAAGACATTTCTTGAAAGATTTCCCTAAACCAATTCTGGACTCTAGTCTCTAAACTTTAAATCCACAGATAACTTGAATTTCAATTATGTTGTAAAACAGGCATATTACACAAGCACACCTGCTATAAAAGTATGATACAACGTCTATAATTGTCAACACATGATTCCACGTGGTAAATCCCAAAATCTGTTTAGAAGAACATGTGCATTTTTAAAGGCGGTCCTTAACACAGCTCCAATCATGGCTGTTACCTTCTCAGACCTCCTGAAATATGTGTAGTCAGGTAAGACTTACATGAGTGACTTGGAAAATAAAAGTTGAGACACAGTGAACCGGGAAAGGCATGTAAGAACATTCAGCCTGATCTTACAACTCAGCTAAAATCTGTTGGGTGGCTTCAGTTTTGTCCCCCATTTTTATGGGAGAAAAAAGCGGAAGTCGACTACAAGTCATCAGTGACCATTGTGATTAGATATCTTAGAATGACAACTCTGTCAAAAGTAGTCTAAATTATTGTAAGCAGTGTTCTGTGTGGTCAGCATGCAAAAAGTCTTTCACCTAGGTGAAAAGTCTGTGTTCAGTAAAAGTTCCATAAGCTGCATAAGATGAGTGCCTACCAATGCTGCCTCATTACGATTCAAGATATTCCATCTCACACCAAGCAGTACTCCACCAACACACAGAAAAATCAAAAGCAAAGGCACCATCCAACTACTGAAAAAGACCTGAGTAATAAAGACAAGGACTATGAAATAACTCTTACTTTTGAACAAATGATTTGTGTCCTACTGTTCATGAGCAAGAAAGGGTTCCTAATTGTAGTTATACCAGAAACCTTAAAGAAATGTCCACTTGGGTGTTTTTCAGGCTGTAAGACTAAAACAGAAGTAGCCTGTCAACAGTACAAGGGAGTCATTTGATGATGGGTGTATTTGGCTTTGAAGACTGTTGATTTTAACATTTGGTCATTTGGCGACATCTCTCCAACTCATTGCAAAATTAAGTGAAGTATTGACTCCTGTGTTTTGTGTGTTTACATTTGAACACCCTCCCAAACAGCCACCGATAAAATGTTAATATTTGTTTTGGTTTTTTCCATCGGACTCTGGAAACTTCTTGTGGGTCAGGCTGTGAACCCAGCACTGTCCACTAGTCTTTACTCTTAGTGTCAGAGGCGGAGACTGGGGTCTCCATAGGTATCCTCTGAACCTCTGTTTTCCTAAGTATCAAAGCAAAGCCTAGACAAGGGGGGAGAGGGGGTGGGAGGAGAAGCTGGGAAGGTGTCAGAGGCAGGGTTATAAGGCATGTTATTCCATAACAGAGTGTTCTAAAAAGACCGTACACTTTCTATTCAGAAACCATGGGTTTGAAGTCTAATGCATTAGCTCGGCAGGATGTCTAACTTTAGAAATCTGTTCACCTGTTAAATGAGCACCAAGAGTTGGCTCCAGAGTGTGCTGAGCTGGTAAAGACAAATGACACATATGGATAAAGTGCCAAGCATGGGCCCCGCTCATTGAACCTTGACCCTGCTTACTCTGGGTGCTTCTGTCCTGCCTCCTCTGGTTCGTTTCATACCTGCTAACCCACCATAGCTCAAGCCACCAAGTTCTAAGGTTGTAAGTCAAGATTCGGAGTGCTTAGTATCCTGTCTTCTACATGTCTGCAACATCTGTAGTGCGTCATCACACAGGGGCAGCAGCCTCCGCTTGCCCTAATTGCACGCCTCTGCAGCTCTGGAAGATGAACCAATGTCAAAAATAAAATTTAAAAATGCAAAGAAAATAGGCCGAAGATTCAGATTATCACCCCAGCATGGCAGTGCGAAAGTCCTCCTCTCTGAGATTCCTGGGCCTGTACTAAGCTCCAGGCTGCCCGGGCCCATCTGCACATGAAGTGAGGGGTAAGACCACACCAACTGTTATGAAGGCAGAGGCCGCCTGGCGCGGGGCTCCGGGAAACGGCGGCCCGGGCGAGCCTCACGCGGCAGCTGTGCAAGGCGACCAGAACGCCCGCTCCCTGTAGGCCCGCACTCCCCGCAGGCCCTGGGACGTGGCGCGGCCTGCGCGGGCCGCTCACCCACCTTGCGCACGCGGCGGGCCGTGTAGAGCCCCATCCCGTCCTGGACCCGGGACGACTTCAGGGCGAACCTGTCTGGTACGTACATGCCCAGCATCCTCCGCCGCTCGGCCCCGCGCCCCGGGCGCCGCACGTGGAGATGGGGTGCGGGCCAGGGGCGGCCGGGAGGAGGAAATGAGCTCTGCTCCCAGAATCCCCACCTCCCTGCTCCGCTCCCCGCGGCCTGGCCCCTCCTCGGCCCGGGCAGGCGCGGCCGGAGCGGCGGGGCGCCCGGGACACCGGGACATGCTGATTGGCCCAAAGTTGGCAGTGGCAGCTGGGAGCCCCAAACCCTAGGCACCCCCTCTCCCGCCCCGAGCCTCCCGCCCTGTGGATGAGACTGTGGCCACACCAGCCCTCCTCACACCATCTCTGCCTTTGGCAAGGGTGTCTGGAGTCTCCTCAAATACAGAACGAAATGGGCCTTGCGTCAGCCTTAGCATCTCCAAAATAGCCTTCTACTGACCACAACTGAGACCAGCCCTGAAGGTCTGGGAAACCTTTGAATCTTAGTGGTTGTGTGTTTGTGTCCAGAGCTGAACTAATAATGAGCAACCAAATAGTACGTTCTAGTTCAACTGAAAGTTGGCCATAAGTATTTAAGGGATGTTTATGGAGGGGTGTCCTCTGGAAAGTGATTATACTTTCTAAGACTTTAGACTGCAAAATCCTGTCACCAGAGTTATTCCAGTCAGAGCTTGGGCTCTTGCATCCCATTCAAGAAGACTGGGCTATCAATCCTTGATAGACCAGTTACCCTGATTATCTGTCAACTTGACACATGAGAGAAATGGGAAACTTAAATTGAGGAAATGTCCCCATCAGTTGGTCTGTTGGAAGTCTGTGGGACATTTTCTTGGTTAATGATTGGTGTAGGAGTTACCACCCCACTGTGAATGATGCTATCCCTGGGTCAGGTGATCCTGGGTTGTATCTTTTAAAAAATTCAAGCTGAACAAGCTACAAGGAGAAAGCAGTGTTTTGCTATGGTCACTGCTTCAGTCCCTGTTTCCAGGTTCCTGCCTTGAGTTCTTGCCCTGACTTTCTTCAGTAATGGGTAAAAATGGGAAACATAAGCCAAACAATCTTTTCCTTCCTAGTTTCTTTTGGTCAGAATGTTTTATCACAGTAATAGAAAGCAAAGCATAGTAGAACACCTATTAAAAGAGACAATGAAAGATTCTGTTCAATGTGACTATGCTAGGAAGAGGAATAAATAGAAACAATAGCTCCACTAAGTCCATATTCAGGATCCTGGCATAAATTTAAGCTTACATAAGAGGCAAGGAATATTTTAATAAACAGACTGGTCAAAGTGTGATTCCACGTACAGAACCGTCTAAAGCCATGTAGATACAATGCAGCATTGTCTTATTGGGTACGTAGCACAGAGGCAATTCGTTTAGAAATGTTATGTCAAATAAACACCATAGTTGAGTGCAGATGTTTTAGTGAAAACTCCATTAAAGGACACAACCATAGCCAATGACACATTCCTTATGGAACTAGGCAGTACAAGGCCTCTTTTGCCATTGGTTTCTTCTTGTGTTTGGCAGTTTGAAGTTTCAGGTACCAACTTATTACCAGACAGGGAAGTAGCTGATTCCATCACCATAGATAGTGCAAGGTCATAGCAGATTAATATTGCTGAAAGATCATTAACTATAATTTATCTTTGTTGTTTTTAGTTACAAATAAACACTGGGTGAGCACGTATATACCTATTGAGAACAATATTCTTTTGGGTTAGCCTCAGAGGTTGAGTTTAAGATAACAATATTTGTAAGTATCCTATGTTTTAATGAGTACTTCAAATGTACATAAAACACACAGAGATAGACACACTGGTAGGCAGAAAAACGACAGACAGACAGATGATATTTTCAATGCAGTTACCCCCACATGGCAGGATAATGCATACCATAGAAGCTAAGGACTATCTAAGAGAAGCACAGTGCTTCAGAAGGTAATGCCTCCATCCAAGTTGTTACTCAGTGGTGTCCAAGAGACATCCAAAACAGTATAGGCTATTGGCATTGCTCTTGATCACCTACCAAAACATGAAGTTGACACCCTATTGCTGGAGATAGCACACATTTTGGTTACACATTTGAAAGAATCAAGGGAGTGGACTGCGTATAAGATCCTAAGGACCAGAACAACTACTTACGATAGTTTCTTATGGACAGAACAACAATATTATTCCCATGAACTCTCAACAGTATGGATGCCTGCACAGGATGTACAAAAACTATATCAGTCAACTCACATCAAGGACCCAGTCCTAAATGAGGTTCCACAGGCAGTCAATACTGCTATGTGAGAGAGAACCATGTTTAGCTTTTGTTTTTGTTCCTTTTGTTGGTGGTGTTGTATTTCAGGGACAAGACTGAAATCCTAAACTCACACAAATAGCTCAACAATAGTAGATAATTATATACATAGAAGAAGAGGCTATTAATTAGAGAGGGGACAGTGGAGGAGTTGGAGGAGGAAGGGGAAGGATGATTCAAATTCAGCTTACATTAGCATGAAAGCCACAAAATATATTTTCACTTATGTAATAATGTTTTAAATTATTTTTATTTATTCTTTGATAACTTCATACATGTATATATACACTCATTCAGGAGCACCCACAGCTAGTCCAGCAACCAATCAGATGGCAACCTCACCCCAGCCCCATAAAAATCATACCACAGAACTGTAGTGACAAACACCTATTGCCTAGAACACTAATAGCAAATAGACCTATAGCAAATACACATCACTGATATAGTATATTATATGATCTAGTAAAAAAATCATAACACCCATTAAAAATCAAAGCACGCCATACATATCCAACACAGTAGCACACGTCCATATACAGAATAAAAGTCTTTATAGGGGGAAAAAGAATAAAGAATGAGAAAGACAACTGGAATCCTAAATGCAGAGATATCAATCCAGGTACACAGAAATACAAAATATCAAAGAGTGATGCAAACTAGTGATTCTTCAGTAACAAAAACCCCAAGGAGAAAATCTACAAACCTCCTGGGAATAAATCTTAAGGAAGTTCAGCAAGTGACAAGAGAATATAGACAATGAAATTTGGAAGAGAGTTCAAGACCAGAGTGAGAAGTCCATCAGAGATGAAAGTTTTTGTGGGGGTGGCAAAAAGGGAAGCTAAGAAAACTCACTGCCACTATGCCAGCATTAAGGAAATGTCTAAGTGAATTCTATGTCTAGCCTAACTATATAATGCATACATGAAGTTCAACTTATGAAGGCGTAAGTCACGAACAAGGCCACACCAGTTTGGAGTTATGATTAATAGGGTGTTATTTATTTAAAGGGGAAAACTTACAGATCACCGTCCCAGACAACAGCCATCTGCACAACCAGGAAGGGAGTCTAGTCTCCGGCGGAGCAGGAAGTGAAGAGAGCGAGCAGAGGAAA